AAAGTGGACAGTGAACAAACTTGGTTATGGTTAACAACAGGTACATTAAAGAAAGAAACAGAGTCACTAATCCTGGCTGCGCAAGAACAAGCTACACTTGACCAGGCAGAATAGAAACTTCACCCTTCTCTCTTCCAGAAGATCACACACCATTTTGGGGTTCTGGTCATGGACTTGTTTGTCTCCCCAGCCGATTCCCAACTACCCAGGTACCTTACGAGGTTCCACATGGCAGGTGCAGAGGAAACAGATGCCCTTCGTTGTCTGTGGCCTTGAGTGCTCCTGGGGGAGAGTGGTACCTTCCATGGGGACAGAGTGTTACTCAGGTTGGATCCCTCCTTTCGGCCCAAAGTTACACGTGGTTCCACTGGGCTCAAGAGGTTGTATTGCCAGATTTCTGTCTGTCCCCGGCCAGGCCGCTAGAAAAACAGTGGCATAAACTCGATGTCCGCATGCCCTTAAAATCTATATTCACAGGACATCGGAATTCCAGAAATCCGAGAGCCTTTTTGTTTCTTTCCAGCCCACCTCCTTGGGACAGAAGGTATCAGTCGCTACCATAGGTAGTTCTCCCTTTATAAACAATTATAAACTAGACAAATTTGCCTCAGCAAACACGGCTTTTGGTCATAGAGGTCTACAGTCAGTACATTCTGACTGGTAATATGAACCAGTCTCCTCCCTCCCGATGGGATGGTCACGCTTGGGTATGTGCCATGCATGGATGCTATCTCCACCTCTATTGAGAAAGGGCACTGGTACTTACTTAATACACCTCTTCTAATAGGGTGGAAATAGAATCCAGCCCCACCCTGTAGAGAGACTGGTCCCCATTGCCAAGCAGGGAGGTTCCCCTGTCATTAGGTGTATATTTGATATTCTGGATTGACATTATAATAGGTGTGGACGTCTTCAAGTTGCTAATTACTAAAGTTGAGTTCTTGGATAACATGCTGAGTCTGTATGTCCTTTATTCGCTGAAAGCTGGGTGGAGTCGTTCACCAGGGCAGGTTACAAAGATTATTAATTAATTATTAATCAGACTCAGTCTAATCAGAGAATGGACAGTGTGAACCCATACATGGATGCTATCTTCACCCTATTAAAGAGGTTTATCAGGTAAGTACCAACGATCTTTCTCAGTATTATATTCATGTGAAATAAATAGAAATAAATAAAATAGCCATTATTTAGGCTTAAATAGAAATATTTTATTCTCAGTATTATATGTTGAAAAACTGTTTTATTTCATTTTCATTTTCATTTTATACAATCACTTATATACTGTGCATTTTTTTAAAAAAGCAATAACACAACTCATCTTCCACCATGGAAAACCAACATAGCACTTCAATCCTCCATACACCCTTTCTTCTCCCCCTCCAACTTTCATTTCTCCCCTCCAGCATTCCCCTCTTCTACTTCCCTTCCCCCTCATACATTCCTTTCTCCCCTTCCCTCCATCTCACCCTCCTTACATTCCCCTCTCACTCCCTCTTTACTTCTCCCTCTTCTTTCCCTCTACTCCTCACTTTGGTGTATTTCTACTATTTATTAATCTATTCAATTTATATTTTACACTAAAATTTTAAAAAATGGGAAAAAAAGGAAAATAAAAGGAAAAGAGAAAAAAAGAAAAAAGAGCAGCAGTATACAAGTGCGTTCTTATTGTTCTGAAAATTGAAACTATATTTCCACCCTCCCCCCCTCCCCCCCGTAAACCCCCCTCCCTAACCCCCTTCCGACTTCCCAGGTCCCATACCCGGCATAACTCTTTATCAAGCACAGTCTGGAGTATATTAAAACCAAATAGATTAGAAATTAAAAGATAAAAATAAAGAAAAAAAAAGGGAATTAAAAAAAACAAGAAAAGAGAAACGGGAAAAATCAATAAGCTCTCTACATTGAGCTCAGCTTCCCATCATTATTAAAACTTAAACAATGTACATCATTCCTAATTTGAGTTAATTTATTACTTGCAGGATTTCAAACTATGTTGAAACCAAGTAAGTTAATCAAATGGAATTCTCTAGCTAGGGGCCTTGTCTCTTTATCTAAATATCCAAACCTTTAATTTGTCCCTTATACCTCCTTCTCTATAAAGCAATTTAAACACTCAAATGCTTCTCTCGGTTTCCTTTTCCAACTCCTCTTATCCTGCCTCTACCCGTGTCCATATATATATATTATTTTCATCCGTACTCCTCTCATATTTGCTCCGCCTTCCTGCGGACTCTCTGGGTATATCCTTCCAGACATTATATTCAAATAACAGTTTATACAAAAGTCAGCTTGCTTTCTGGCTCAAAATAAGCTCTAATTGAACCTTCACTACCCTCCCATCTACCCCACACTTCCCAACTCCATTCATCCTAAACCACAATCCAAGAACATCACGATCTCCGCCCTCCTCACCCTAGAGAATAAATCATAAACAATTTAAATAAAAATTCAAAGTTATCCATCAAGTCTTTTTTAAGTCCCATACAATATATTTTCCGAGGAATCAGCATCACTTCATTCAGCCTTAATGTCTCTTCATCGGTATGCAACTATACCGTTTTATACAAGACAGAAATCACAAAGTATTATTCAAGTTAAAAATTAAGCAAATGTTTTGGAAGCATAACTAAATCCTTGTTCTCTGCTCTTCTGCCCTTCCGGAGGGGGAAAGCGATACCTCCCGCCTTGTAGTTGTGTGTTTCGTTGTTTCTCTTCTACTTCTCCTTGTCTTTCTCCAAGTCCGGGTGATTCAGGAAGTCCCGCCTTCAGGATCTTATAATAAAAATCTCAGGCTTCTCAAACAGAGTTGAGGCGATGTTTTTGGTCATCAAATGTAACTGTAATACCAAATGGCACTTCCCATCTATACTGTATCTGAGAGTTTCTGAGTTCTTTAGTTAGAAAAGCATAGTCTCTCCTGGCTCTTAACTTTGGGGTGGTATTTCTTTGAAAACAATCAGGTCCTGTCCATCAATTCGCAGCCTGTTATTATAAAACTCTTGTATTATCGCATTTCTGGATTCTCTTGTAGCAAAATATATAATTATATCAGTATTATTCTCAGTATTATATGCATGTAATAAACGTATGTTTAAGAGTTGGTGGAAAGAGAAAATTGTCTTGGAAGCATTCTAAAATTATATATGATTAATGTCTTTGCATGGTTACTTAGGAGTAACTTCTCTCATCTTCAATAGGGCATATTGAAAGGATTTAAAGGAGAATTAATTCATGTTTACAACAAACATGATGGAGCCTTGAAAAATACAGAATACTTTAAACAATTAAAAGACAACAGCAATATCATATTACTTGGAGATTCTCAAGGAGACTTAACAATGGCAGATGGAGTGGCAAATGTTGAACATATTCTTAAGGTTGGGTATCTCAATGATAAAGTAAGTAGGTGATTGATAAGCATAAAAACTATTGTAATATTCATATTCTCAGTTTTGTATATTATTTATAGGAATTGTTTTTCAAAGTTACCTACTTCTAAGTCTAGTTCAGCATAACCTTTTCAATACATTTGCAATTAAGAGTTGGCAGATAGAAGATGTATGTGACAATGGCTTGTTTCAATTCATTGCAGAATGGTAATGTTGAGTTACTTGCTGATATTATTCATGTGCTCTCTGCTAAAATAGAATCATTTTTAAAAAATAGTTAACTATTCCAAGTTCTATATCAATAAAACCAAAGTAAAAAGTTGTCATGTCGAGTGTCATGAATGTTTTGTGAAAAAAAATCTACAAAGATATAGCCAAAATACACTAAATCCAATTGCAGCTTAGTAGGATGGGTCCATTTTCAAATTAGATAAATTATTAAAATAATGTCATCTTCAAAGAGTATTCAGACAACTTCCAAATACTTATTTTGCCAGCAGCAGGTAATATTTATGTAGAAGGCCTTTAACAGTTTAGCTGGATTTTAAATAAAGGTAATCCTCGACATATGATCATTTAGCAACTGCTTGTAATTGTGCTGGGAAAAAATGGACATGATTGGTTCCTAGTTAGTTGTTGCAATGTCCCCATAATCACATGGTCAAAATTTGAATGCTTGGAAATCCACCCACATTTATATCTATAGGAGTACTTTAATTGTTCCATACTTCTATCTTCCTCTTACCTATGTCCTTTTGGCTGCCCTGCACTACAGCACTCCTCAGCAACAATGCCAGGTCTAGGGCTGAAATAGAGGCCTGGGTGTTCTGCAATCTCAGTCAGTTGCCACTAGCTGCAGGCCTCTACTTTAGTCACAGCACTATCACTGCTGCTAAGATATGCCCCACCGTCACTAACCATCCCAGTACCATAGGATAAAGCCCTCTGTTGCCCCACCTTCCTATGCTCCACAGAGCCTGCCATACTCAGTTGGCCACTATCTTCCAATGTTGATGAGGTGCATCCAACTTGACCCTATAGGCAGCTGCAGGCTATGTCATGCCTTCTTCCTAAGGCTGGCTCTTTGAATCTGGAAATATCTGATATTCTGGAATATCATTAACAAATGCTCCAGACAGCTGTTCTTCCTGAGGAGCTTGCCAGAAAATGGCCCTCCAGTGGGTCTAGAGCTTGGGAAAATGAGGGAATAGCCATTTTGCCCAAACTGCAGTTTGCATCTTTGAAAGGTTCACATATTCACTAAATTCACATATTATTCTAATCACTTTTGGAAATTACCTAAGTCCTTTTTAATGATTAGGAATCTTTGAATCAACAAGTTTGGCAATACTGGGTGAATTTCCCTGTAATCCTTAATGGAAAAATAATCACCATAAGTTTTAACAACTTTTAAAAATGGAATAAACAACAAAAGGATGAATAAAACTTTGATTTTAAAAAATTACAGAGTAAGATATAGATACATTTGAAATAAGATTTTGGAATTAATTATAAAGAATATTTCATGTGGGAAAATACTTTTGATTTTTTTTAAAGTAAGATTTTTAAAATTGAACACTAGACAAAACTAAAGTTTATAGTTAAAGGAGAAGACAGAAGCTCAATTTATCATTATAAACTGTTACATTATTATTACAATTATAGTATGACAAGCCACAGGAATATGAAAAAAGATGTAAGAGTATTAAAGAAACCACCCAATATTTTAATAGTTAAAGGGCATATGTAAACAATAAAACAAGAGAGTGACAAAAGCTTATTTAGAAATCTTGTGAGAAGGAAAAGAAAAAAGAAATCAAGCTCTATTTTTGTCTAATTTAAGGAAAGGGAGTTGAATTATATATATGAAAATAAAAGATCTTTCCACAACTTTTAAAATGTGAAGAAAAAACCTGACATTTTAAAAAGCTTTAGTTTTAAAAAATCTGTATTTCCTCCCTAAACCACAGCTATTTTGTTCAAATGTAATGCACAAGTGAAAATACGGAAATATCTTTTAATTCAACTCCCTTCCTTTAAATTAGACAAAATAAAATTATTTCTAAATTTGGACTGAAACTCTACATTTCATTTAAAAAGAAAGAAAAGATAAAGTACAAATAATTTCAGTCCTCTTTAATTTGTGGTTTTAGATTTTAATCATGATCTAAACTAATAAAAGTTTAATTATATTGTTAGTTGACAAACAAAATGATGTGATTGCCCAACTCAATCTAATTTATATATGACTAGTTCTAAAATTTTCTTCATCAAATGTTATGCATTGTGCTTGTTCCTTTCTATTTCATTTTATAGTAATTTTATTGAAATACATATAATAATTTTATTGAAATACAAACTAAAAGAAAGAATAAAAAGTAGGAGCAGAAAGTACAGAAAAGATAAAAGGAAAAGAGAAAGAGAAAAAAAATATACTGAAGAAAAGAAATATATAAAGAATATCAGTTTGGTTTTTCATACTATTTTTTCCTTCACATTTTAAAATCTAGGTTGAACAACTTCTGGAAAAATATATGGAATCCTATGATATTGTTTTGGTAAAAGATGACTCTCTGGATGTGGCCAACTCAATCCTGCAAAAGATTTTGTAATATATCATTGTTTTCCATTAAAAGAACCTCTTTGGACAAATTGGCATGATCCACTATAAAAACAATAATCCAATGCTGCTTTCCACACTATTACCATTTCATATAGAAAGTACTGTATTTCTCATTATATTGCTCCATGCTGTTGAATTATATTTCACTGTTTATTATCTCCCTATTTATTAATTCCAATGGAAAATGATTATTTGAAAAAATATCTTTATTTCTGCACAATAAAATTCATATTTTCAGGATTTGTGGAATTGTTATAGAAAATAAGAGAAAAATGGGTGTGATAAAACAAATGATTTGATTAATCAATAAATATCAAATCTTTTGAGATTCAGCAATACAAATTTGTGTAAATGACTACATTTTGATAAATCTCACTGCTTCTTTGTAGTAGAAAGTGCAGTTGAAGCTAAACATTTTAAAGTCATATTGGCTTAAACAAGGTTAAGATAAAGTAGTTAGTTTAATTTGTACAGTATTTTAACAAAAAAGTCATATTTATTAGTATTGAAATTTGAAAGGCAATTCTACCGAAAGATATTTCACTGCATTGTGCTATAAGTTAAACGTGAGTGCTAGAATTCTCATCACTTTTTCCCATACACAAAACTTTCATGAAAACAAGTTTTAAAAGTTCTTTTAATGGGGGGGGGGGTTCATCTCTAAATTTTTGGCAAATTTCCCTCCCTCCTTTAAAATTAGACAAACATTATTGCTTTAATTTTTCTTCAGGAGGATGTTAATTTTCCATTTACAAGCCACTACTCAACAAAAAGTAAGAATTTTCTCCTGTACTAGTCAGACCCTCAAGTGTTTCTCTGATGAATACATTCTTGATTATCACCTAGCTTCTAGACAAGTATCAGATGTGAATTGGGATGTGAAAAGAATTGTTACAAAAGGTTGCTGGTTTAGATTAAGAGGATAAATTTACCAATCCAAAACTCACAAGCATAGTTTGCAGTTGAAATACATAGAAATATAATTTGTTGAATAAAACCCAACCTAATTTCTTTTGGAATTCCATAACTTTGTTAGATGCCATCTGGAAGTGGAGAGGAAAAAGTGGAGCAGATAGATAGGATATACTGAATGGGATATAGGAATGTAGTTCTGTACATTAGATTTGCCCTGCATATCCCACTGAGAATCAGTTTGGTGTAATGGTTAAAGCACCAGGTTGGAACTAGGAGACTGTGAGTTCTAGTGCTGCCTTAAAACAAAAATCCAGATGGATAACCTTGGGTCAGTCACTTTCTCTGAGCCCTAGAAAGGAAGCAAACCACTTCTGAAAAACCTTGCCAAGAAAATTGCAAGGTCCTGAAGAAATCCAAGAATCAGACATGATTGCACTGGGAAAAAAAATACAAAGCAACCTTAAAAACCCAAAAAGTCTTATGAACTTATCCCCACAAGATCTAAAAGATGCTCCAGGTTTCCTTTTAAAAAAAAAAGACCCAAACACTTCATGAAAATTTTGAGAATGCAAGGATTTGATTTCCATTCAAGGCAAAGTGCTTTTCATTTTATGCATAATCCAAGTAACTTTCTAAAAAGTTCAATAATGAACGGAGAATTCATGTCATAATAGTACAATTTTCAATTATTCAAATTCAGGCAGAAACAGACTCTGATTGCTACTAATTTATAACTGTAATTTCATACAATCCTTAGGTCTATTTATCACTGATACACTGATACAATGGGGTTGTGCAGCACTTCAGATTCCATCTAGAAATAGTGCTTTAGTGCGCTCAGGATCATGATTATAATAGCAGGTCTCAATATCTTAAACCAGTGTTTATTTTAGCAACTTTAAAATATGTGGATTTCAACTTCCCCAGACAGCATCTGGGAGTTAAAGTCAACATATGTTAAGGAAGCTTAGTTGAGAAGCATTGTGTTGAAGCAGTGACACTAATTCCTGTGAGTCTGGCTATCTATAAATGGCTGTCTATAACTACTTAATGATAAAAAAGAAACAAAAAATGTTTTAAATATGCCCCTTATAATATGCTTTTCAAATTGAACTTGACATAATGGAACAATCCTAAATAATTAGAAACTATTTATTCAATAACTTGGAGATTTTTCTTCACGTGATGATCCAGGGCGTGGCAAAAAAGCAACACAGCCAGACAACAGTTCTAACTGCCCTTTATTGCTCCAACTTTGCTCTCAAGCGTCCCCATATTTACTACAAGTCCTGGAACAAAGCTCTCACATGCACTTTCAACAGCCTCTGGCAGCAAGTAGTCCAGTAAGGTTAGCAAAACAGTAACCAGGGCCAGCAGTCCAGTAAGCAAGGTTTGCAAAGCAATAGCCAAGGCAAGAAGTTCAGCGAAGCAGGCAAACCCAAGACAGCACTTCTCTCCAAGCGTCGACAAGTGCACACAAGGCTCTACATATTCAATGCTTGTTCCCGACAAATGCCCCTCCCATCAGCATCTTACAACTCAGTCCCCCAGGTATGCTTTGTGAGAGGGGGTGGGGCAGTCTCCTCCCTTGTAGCCAGCTCAATCTGCCTTGTTCTTGCCTTCTCTCTTCTCTTTGTGGTCTAGGATCAAGAGAGGGTAGTCCTTGCTCATCATCTAAGCTCTGCCTCTCGTGTCCATCTTGACCCTCCCTGTCTACAAGCTGTTCTAATCCTAAAATGCCTTGGCCTGACTGGCCCTTCCCCATTTTCCACTGCAGCCAAGGAAGCCGCCCCCTTAATTTGTCAGCTCAGGTTCCAGTTGGTCTTCCCCTGCAGATTCAGTCTCCAACAGGAGCACAAGACTTCAGTTTTGTTTCTCTCAGTCTGTGGATATGATCTGATATCATACAATATGTCCCAATAGCATCCATCTATTTATAGATATACAGGAAATCAAAGTGCAACATTTAACATCAATTATTTGCCTCTTCCTAGTCATACATAAGAAGGGACACAGTGGCTCAGTGGCTAAGCTGAGCTTGTTGATCAAAAAGTTCGGCAGTTCGAATCCCTAGCACCGCGTAACGGAGTGAGCTTCTGTTACTTGTCCCAGCTTCTGCCAATCTAGCAGTTCAAAAACATGTAAAAATGCAAGTAGAAAAATAGGAGCCACCTTTGGTGGGAAGGTAACAGCATCCTGTACACCTTTGGTGTTTAGTCATGACCAGGGAGATGTCTTTGGACAGTGCTGGCTCTTCAGTTTTGAACGGACTCAATGGGAAGACTAGGTTAACATTTAGCTAGTCAGGCTAGCCCGTCTCTGCTCCGGCTAGGTGGACGGAAAAACACAGGAAACATCACCGAGCCTAGTCGGAACAGGTGCGAGAGGGAATCCCAAAGGTAGAGGGGGATTCGGGGGTTATGAATAAGTGGCTGTCGGAGGGTTGCGGTTCTCTGAACGGCCCCCGGGCTGTACGACCGCCCCTGGTAGTCCTCCGACTCCCCAACGACAGAGGAAATGGCGGCAGCACGCTGACGGCGCTTCTCCCTGGCGGTTTCCAACGCGCCCAGCGTCTTTTGACTCTGCTGCAAAGTTCTCGACCGGGAGAAGCCCCGAAATTGGATTTTTGGCGGACAGTGGTGCCAGAGAGGGGGTGGCTGAAATCGGATGGCACTGAGGAGTCTGGGCAGCTGGCTGCGTTCGTTTTGCCCGCCGCCGCTGCCGCGGCGTTCCTCCCAGAGCCCCCCCCCCAATCGCCTTACCAGCTGGCGACGATCTGGATACATCCCAGCCTTTTCCTGGCCTTTTCCAAGTTTTCGGTTTTGTTATCCATGACTGAGAGGAGNTATTCTATTCTATTCTATTCTATTCTATTCTATTCTATTCTATTCTATTCTAGTCTAGTCTAGTCTAGTCTAGTCTTTGCTCTCACTGTCAGAAATTTTCTCCTGAGTTCCAGATTGGATCTCTCTCTGATGAGATTTCACCCATTGCTTCTTCTCCTACCCTCAGGGACTTTGGAGAACAATTGACCCCCTCTTCCCATTGAAGCCTTCAAGTATTAAAAGATGGCTATCATATTATCCCTAAGTCCTTAGATGTTTATCGTACAATTTGGCCTCCAAACCCCTTATCATCCTTATCTCTCTTCTGTGCACTTTTCTCTCACTGTTTCTCAGCATCTTTTTTTGTATTATGGTGACCAGAACTGGTTGTAATATTCTTAATCTGGTCTTACTACTGCAATATAAAGCAGTACTATCATTTCTCATGATCTTGATGCTATCCCTCTGCTGATGCAGCCAAAGACTGCATTGGCTTTTTTTTTTTTTTTTTTTTTCCGGTGCAGAATATTGCTGGTTCATACTTAAATGGTGGTCAACCAAGACACCCAGATGCCTCCCACCCTTTACTGCCTAATACACATGCAAATGTCTATAGGTGGAAGAGGATTTCAAGCTGCTTTTAAAGCTCATATTTTTTAATTTTATAATTAATTTTTCTATAGCTACCCAACTCATCCCAGTAACTCTTTCTTACTGTTTTTCTGCATCTTTTTTTGTATTATGGTGACCAGAACTGGTTGTAATATTCTTAATCTGGTCTTACTACTGCAATATAAAGCAGTACTATCATTTCTCATGATCTTGATGCTATCCCTCTGCTGATGCAGCCGAAGACTGCATTGGCTTTTTTTTTTAGCAGCTGCAGCATATTGCTGGTTCATACTTAAATGGTGGTCAACCAAGACACCCAGATGCCTCCCACCCTTTACTGCCTAATACACATGCAAATGTCTATAGGTGGAAGAGGATTTCAAGCTGCTTTTAAAGCTCATATTTTTAAATTTCTATAATTAATTTTTCTATATATCTACCATTTTTCCAGGATCAGACCACCATCAAGGTTTGTTTGGGGTTTTTTTGCATGACATTAAGTGCATACACTTATATACCATATACATACACACATATATAGACATAACTTTATTTCAGTAGAGGCCATGAGAGCAAAATGCAGAAAAACAGTAAGAAAGAGTTACTGGGATGAGTTGGGTAGCTATAGAAATTGATGGCAAGTTTACAATGTTAAAGGTGTGAGTTCATTAACTTCTAGTTTGTTTTCCATTTGCAGGAATGCATTGTTTGCTTTGATGCCACTTGTTCCTTTTCATATTCGTAAAGATCAGTCATACAGATATTTATTTTGGTCTCCCTGTGGTGTCATCTAATTTGATTCCCGTGAAGGGGCCAATGCCATCATCTCTTGCAAGGATTCTCTTCTTATAGACTTGCTTATGTGCAGAAATTGCTTTGCGAACAA